AACCCCGTGGTTCAGCTTGTTCTCCTCACTAAACCCTTTATCCAGCCAGGACAGGGTCAGGGCTGAGGGGATGAAGAAGAGCCTGACTCATCCCAGGGGAGGATCCCACAGCCAGGAAATCCCTGCCCCTCTGCTGGAAGCTGCTGCTGGCATCTGTTATCCGTTCCTGTTGAGCACACGCTGCATTCCGAGGACAAACATGGACTTGTCAAGGATTTGATTGCTTTTCCTCAGCTGCCTGAGGAGTGTTAGAACCTATTGCTTTTGACAACGCACCTCAATTAGGTCTTAAAATCGGTACTACACGCTCTGTGGAGCTGGAGGAGTGTGGTGGATTCCTCGGAGGACTGAGCTGCTCGATTTCAGCTTAAGGATGATGTTTCTCCACAAGGGAGTCACCAGTCACAATAATTACATTGCTGTCTTCTCATAATATGATTTATTTAGATGTTGCCGTATGAATTAATTCTCTCTAATTGCTGCTCTTCTCACTGTAAATCAAGGTTTCTTGCTTTCTGGAGAGTAGTGAACATGATCCTACACTGAAGTAATTAGTCCAATTAGAAAGGAAAGCAGATGTGGAAAACCAATTACTTTCAGGAATATGTCTGCTCCTCTGTAGTCCAAACGCTGTTCAATCAAAATGTAATAGTATTTTAATAAAACATTGTTTTATTCATAAACTCCATCCAGCGGTGAGGCTCCGCCTGCTCTTTTGGAGGAGCCACTTTGGGGCGGCTTTGAGGCTGGGGAACTCTGCAGACCTGCTCCTGCTTTACACGGCTCCAGGGAGAGAACAAAGCTGCCAGGAACAGATTTTATCCTGATCCAAGGAATTTCAGAGCCGCTGTTAAAGAGAAGGCAGAGGAGGAATTGTTGTGCTAGCGAATTCTGCAGCAGGGATTGCTCCAAGCCCAAGCAAGAGCAGCGAGGTTCCCCCAGTCCCTTCTGCTCAGAGGAGCTGTTCAGTCAGCACCGCTGCCCAGCCTGGGTTGCTGTGGGGACACAGAACGGCCTCGGTACATCCCTGAAGAGAAATCCTGCAGGGATTTACCCCAGCAGCTCTGCAAAGCTTTCTTCTCCTGACCTGCAGGACCTTGTGCTCTTGGTGAACCCCAAACCCCGAGCGCTTTCTGCCCCCGCAGCCGGGTGAGGGGGAACAGGAGGATCCAGTGAAAGGTGTGGGTTTGGGGCATTTCCTTTGGAAGGTTGTGAGTGTGAATCCTCTGCCCTGCTGGGGGCACTTCAGGCTCGGGTACCCCTGGTACATTGGAGGGAAATAATCCCAGAGGTTCTGCGCTCCCCCTGTCCCAGGGGGGAAGGGTTTGGTACCCAGAGGATGCTCTTCCAGAGAAGGAATCCATCCAGCCCCGAGCGTGGGACATGGAGGAGGGGAGGGCTCAGCACTGCTGTGTGTAATTAACTGTAATTAACCAGGCAGTGCTGCTGCTGGCGAGGTGGCAGTGCCAGCCAGGAGGGCCAGGGCTGGGCACACACATCTCCAGTGTCACCAAAGCTCGTCCCAGCCTCCTCCTCGGGCTTTGTTTTCTGAGTTCTTCGTTTACAAACCCGCACAGGAGTTTTGCTTTGGAGACTCACCCATCTATTTTCCTCTATCTGCTGCACGGAAGACAAGTGTTCTCATAATTGGGCCATTAAAGGAGGTGTTGAAATGTTGCTAATTGTCAAAGGCAATTAAGTATGGCAACATGTCACAGGTAAATTAACGAGGCTCCAGGTGTTTTGAGCAAATCACAGTTCTGTGGGTGTGAAACAATTCCAGCCTTCTCTGCTGCTGCTCTGTAGAGTTTTGGTGGGTTCTGGTCTGGGGGTTTGCATTCACTGGAAGTACAAGAAGAGCACTCCAAGTTCCTGAGACACTTCCCATGGCAAGCAGAGGTGCTGCTCTCTCCTCTCTCCCTCGAGGGAGGCCTGCAGTGACCCCAGAGTGCTGCAGGGCATCTCCAGGTTTTTAACCCCTCCACAAAAGCCGTGGGTTCGTTCTTGTGGCTCCTCTCACCGTGGCACCGCCAGGGCCCCCTCCGCTCTCCTCCCTGCCCGGGGCTGCTCGCAGGGTGGCACTGCCACACTGCCCCTCATCACCACCCTTGTTCCTCCTCAGAGATCTGCCATGCTGTGTGTGTGTGCACACCCGTGGCTGAGGCTGGGTGGAACCCTAATTGTATATTATTAAAATATTGTGATTTTTTTCTCCCCCCCTTCCAAGCTGCGGCGCCTCCCCGACGCCTTGTGCAGCTGGCTCCCACTGGCACTTGCAAGGTTGTCCTCCAGGTGCTGCATCAGAAATCTTTTGACACAGTGTCAGTAATTAAGTGTACAATTAAGAGAATGTCTGCAATTAAGTTCAATCAGTCAGTCAATCAAATCTACATTTGTAAAGGGTTTCTAAAGGGCCTCTCATCCAAACCTCCCCTCTGCTTCTGAGCTCGGCAAACTTAACACCAGACAAGGCAGCGTTTATTTGAAGCAGCTCAAAGGGCTGGGAGGTTTATACTGAAATGCTGTTTATATTTTATATTTGAAATGCTGTTTGAGGCCTGGCTGTCTCCTGAACAAAAACTGCCTTTAAGTGAGGCATTTAGGCACAACACTGAAATGTAACCATTAAAAAGGCTGAAAACTCTTGGCTTTTCCAGCACTGTGCCTCCCTGGGCTTAGCAGTGTGATTCCTCCTTGTTTCCTTTGGGGAATATTCAGGAAGGACAGATTTTCTGCTGGAATGTGCCAGCAGAATCTGGTTTTGTGCTGTTTCAGGCATCTTTCAGCTCCTGAGAGTTGTTTTTGCCAGGAGGTTGCAGTGGGTGAGCACTCGCTGCTTTTATGCTGCCATAAAGTGTGGCTGGAGTGGGAGCCCTGCCTGCTCGGGGTTTTCTGGGATTATTTCCCTCCAATATACCCGAGCCTGAAGGCTTTAGTGCACCCCAGCACAGCAGAGGACTTGCACTCACAACCTTCCAAAGGAAATGCCCCAAACCCACACCTTTCACTGGATCCTCCTGTTCCCCCTCACCCGGCTGCGGGGGCAGAAAGCGCTCGGGGTTTGGGGTTCACGAGGAGCAGCAGGAGGGGGAAGTGGGGGAGAAGTGCCCCAGGAGCTGCCAGGTGCTCCCTGACACTGCTGCTGGGCCCTGATCTCGCTCCTGTCCCCCGAGAGGAACCTTCCCTTGTCTGAGCTGCCAGATCTGTGTCACCAGCTGCTCTCCAAGGTCTGGGAATATTCCGTCTCCAGACTGCAGATACTGCTCCAAAGAGTAACTGGAGGGGTTTTCTTGTCTCTGCTGCTCCATCAGTGTGAGCAGCAAGCCGTGGTTGCTTTGATAACGAGCTTGCATTTACACAGCACCTGTCAGCTCTGAAGGGAGCTCTGCTAACTCAGCCCGAGCTGACAGAGCCTTGTCCACGGCTCTGCTCGGCTCTGCCAGCCTGGCTGCTGTCTCATTATGTGCCTTGCTTTAATGTATGGAAAGCTGTTACCCAAAATGTCCTTCAGATAGGGAAAAAAAAAGAACAAATGGATTTGTAATATGTGACTTGTAGTGCTGTAAACATTCCCCAGCATGTCATTAATACCCAGCTTTATTTATTTATACTCTGGCCTCTCCTGCCCTGCAGAGGGAGGCTGGGGAGATGAGGAAGGAAGGGTGGGAAGGCAAATTGTGCTCCAGTGGATGTTCAGCAGAAGCACAGAATTCTGCCCTGCAGACCTGGGCCAAGGCAGGACCCCTTGTTTCACTGCTTTTACTTGGTAAATACACAAAGTTGTGAGGTTTTCATCCACTTGTGCTTGACATGGGAGATTTACTCTGGTTTGGACTCTTGGTTTGCTAAAAGGAGAACAAAGGGAAAAAAACCTCCAAATTCTTCCCAGTGTTCCTGTCCCCCCTCTCTAGAACTCCAAAGAATGGCTTGCTGAGCTCTCAGATGTTCTGAGGGAAAATCCTTCAGGAAAAGGAGGAGTTGAGGGCCAGGCTGGACAGGGCTTGAGCAGCCTGGGGTGGTGGAAGGTGTTGGAATGGAACCACCTTGAAGATCCTTTCCAAACCAAACCATTGTGTGAAAAGCTCCCAGGACTGGTTTTGGAGGTGGTTGATGTCAAGATCTGAAGTGTTAGATGGATAAGGAAGCACAGAAAACCAGTGTGGGGCTGGCCAAACTCCCTCTTGCAGATCCTGTGCTCTGGGCTGTGGCTGGAATAGTTTGAATTCCAGTGTAACTTCAACAGGGAAAGCTGCTTTTGTGAGATGGGAAACACAGGAATGGCTCAGGAATGGGCCTAAATGGAATAAACTGAAATGGAATAAAACATCCAGGAGCTTGGGTTTGCTGAGTGGGAGAGCTCAGCACCAGGAGCTGGGGCTTGGCAGGGAGCAAAGCCTTCTGTGCTCGGTGCTTGTAGGAAAAACCATCAGCAAGTGCTCCTGAAGCTCTTCCAGCCATCCAGGAAACAATTAAATCCTTGAAATCTGCTACTAAATCTATCAAGGCCAATAATGCATCCTGATGGGAGGAAGACATTATTTGTTTTTTTGTTTTAAATTTGCCAGATCTCATTTTTTTTTTCATTTCTCTCAGGGAGGTGAGGACTTTTGAAAAGGCAATTACGACTGGTGAATGATTAGTGTTAGATGTGACACATTTATGCATCAAATATGTTTAACTGCATTAACCTTCAAGGAATTTACACTGACACCTTGAAAGATCTATCCTGTGCTCAGCCTGAAAAATCTGAGTTCTCCTCAACTTCCATCTTATTTACATTAATTTTATTACAAAATAAATGGGTCTAAAATATTAATGGAGTTTTTACAGGTTCTGAAGGTGGTGTGGCAGGGGAGTTGGAGGGAAGCTGGCACGACTGGGGATTCTGTAGGGAGAGATTTTTGAGGTGCAAGTGCACTGAAATGAGGTTATTTTCTGGTTTCTTCCCTGGCTGTCCCATCCTGGAGGGAAGATGACTGAAAGGGATGAGGTTACACAGCTCATTTATCCACTTTAGGGTTTAATTTCCTGCTAATAAGGTATTTAAACCTTCCAGAAAGCAGCTTGTGGTCTTTGTAGGCTTTTAATCTTTACACATTATGCAGAAAGGAAGTACATGCTCACAGAGGGTTCTTACTGGGGATTTTCAGGAAATATTCGTGTTATTAAAGATCTCCTTGTGCTGCTCCTCTCCCTCTCCCAGCAGGTCTGAGCCCGGTGGATCCCAATTTCCGTGTGCTTTCCCAGCTGGGCAGTGGCAGCAGCTCCTCCATGTCTCTTGAGCTTCACTCCACTGAAATCTGGTTTGCTACGAGACAGACTCCGGTGGAATGAAGGACAACAGAAGCCATGGATCGTCCTCGCTTCCCTGGGAACACCGGGGAGGTTCTGGGGAGCTCGGGCGCCTTTAGGGAAACACGGGGTGTGTGGAGGTGTGAACTTGGAGCTTGGTGGGGTTGTCTGGGCTGAAATCCTCCTTTTCCTTCCCCTCCCATCCCTGTTTTTCACCTCTATCACTTTAACCTGGAGCAAAGCAGCCACTTGGGACACTTTGTCCCGTCAGTTGTGGGAACAGCTGAGCCAAGGATGTGGCAGCTCTCCATCCACTGAAGGCTTTTCAGCCACCAGGAGCTTCTGCAAATTAAATGCTCAAGGCGGTTTATTTTGTCTTTTATGGCTTTTACAAGGGAGGTGTGACCAGATAATGGCCAGGCTCCCTCCTGGCCTTAAACACTGAATTTACAAAAGCCAAGGAATGCCTGCAGGCAATTTTCCTCAAAGTGCTGGACCTTCTTAAAGACCTCTGGCCATACCGGGAGTGTGTGTTAAGGTCCTGCTTCCCTTTAGGAGATAGATGAGAGATAATCCCATTAATCCCGGCCCCACAGGATGTGGGAATTGGGGTTTGCTTCCCCTGGTGGAGCCGGGGCAGGGCTGGGAACTCATCCCCTGTCCCGGCACTGCTGCCCCTGCTCCTCCCTTCTGGGAGATGGGTCATGGCTTTCATGGATATCGCGGGATTTACCTATTTAAATAGGTAAAAACCCTCTAAAAGGTTTGCAGCCTCTTCCTGAGGGCTTCCCATCTGTGAAAGAGACAAAAAATAATGAAAATTAAGGCTGTTAGGAATATTCCCCTGTCAAATTCCAGCCCATTCCTACATCTGTGCAATAAAGATATTTCTGAGGTTCCTGCAAAGGAATCTGATTATAGGTTTAAATATTTTACTTTATAAATAAGTCCTGGTTTTATCTATAAATTAATAAATCAGAATATAATGCATATCCTTAGCATTGTGTGTTGCTTCTCCTCTAAAGAACTGCAAACATTAAAGCAAATCTACATCAAAACCCACAAATCCCATGAATGAGATGGAAATTCTCCACATCCCAGCAAGGAATTGCAAATGGTGTTTCCAGTTTGGGTGGCTTTGCCAAATTAAGGTTCCAGTTCCTTCCTCCTCAATGCCTGGGAAAACCGGGGCTTTCAAAGGGTCCGGCTCTGACTCTTGGCAAGACTCCCACACACTCCTGGATAACTTCAGATTTCAAATTTTAATTTGCTTGCACTTCTCAGCTTGGGAAAAGGGAGGTTAAGGTGCAAAACTTGCCTTGAAGGTGAACTGAAATGTTCGCCTGCACTTAAATTAAAAAAAAAAAGAAATCAACCCCAAAGCCAACCCACAAACCCCAGCGAGGAGGTGCTGATGGATGATTTTACAGAACAAATGGTTTGGGGTGTTTCTCTGTTGCTTTTAAATCTGAACCTGCTCGAAGCCTCTCCCTGGCTGTGTCAGGACTTGTCCGAAGCTTTTGGGTAAGCCCTGAGAAAGGGTGGCCCAGGCAGGGACCCATCAACCCAAATTCCTCTGTGCAATCCTGCCTTGTTTGAAACGCCTTTTATCAGGCAAGTTGGGACGGGCTCACCCCACAAATGCCTTCGTGCATTTGTTCATGCACAGCTCCGGGGCATTAACCCCTCGGAGCCGGAATGTGTGAGCCCAGCTGCAGCTCCCATCATTAAATCAAAGTGCTTATCAGCCAAATCTCACATTAAATCAATGGTAATAAAAACCTGAAATGCGAGCTCCAGCTCCAACAGCTCCCCTCGGTCCTGAGCAGCCGATTTAAAATGTGGGGAGTTGGGTTTTTCAAGTTTTAATGAGATCCCCCCCTTGATTTTTGCTGGGAAGAAATGTTGAGGGTCAGGCTGCAGCTTCACCTGAGCAGCAGCCAAGGTCTGCTGCATCCTCAGAAGGGGCAGACCTTTAACTAAAGGTCACATAAAATTGTGCTGGACCTCCCTGAACTTTAAAATGAGCAAAAGTTTCTCTGTTCCTTTGTCTGTGGGGTCCAGCGGTCCAGGCAGATGCTCTGAAAGGGCTGAGCACTGACCCCAGGGATGGCAAACTCTGGAAATCCTGTGCTGGGCTCAGCACCAGGAGCTCCCCATCCTGGAGAGAAAACACAAAATAATTTCTGTCCCTGCAATATGGGCTCAGCTCTGACTCTGAATTCCAGGGGCAGCACTTCCCCAGCCCCAGCCCGATCCAGGTGTTGTGTCCAACCTTTGGGCTGCTCCTGCTCATTCAGGATTCCATTTTTTCCTGCCTTCATCAGGCGTTATCCTCGTACTTTCCCAAACGTTTTCCTTGCAACTGGCTGCTATTTCTTTCAAAAGGGAAATTTCTCTTGGTTTTGAGGAAGTTTTACCCCATAAGAATCAGTTACATTTGAAATTGGCTTTAGCCCTGTGCGTTGCACGTGGAGAGGAGCCTGATTGTTCAGCAGCAGCTGGGCTCAAAGCTCCTGAGTCTCTCTTGGGAAAGTGAGAGAAGGCCTTTGGACACTTCCACACAACAGCCAACACAAACAAGGCATCCACAGAAAGGGGGAAATGCAGCCTGAGCCCCTGGTCCCACAGCTCACCCAAACCAAACTTCAGCATCTCAGAACACCCCATCACAATGGCTTTGGGACCTCACAGACCCTGGCAAACTCAAACTGAAGCAAGTTAAAATTATCTCCATAAGGCAAATTACCAAGTGTGACTGTTTTCTAAATATAGATACAGGATACCACTGGATAGGGAACAGGTTTAACTTATTCACATAGAAAATCAAGGGAAGAATCAACTGGTTGAAACAAAGTTAAATCCTTACAAAGGGTGGCCTGGACAGCATCTCAGATCTGGTATTTGTTGCACCAGTGCAAGTCCAGAGCAACTGCACAGGTTCTGATTGAATCTGTTCTTAAACAGCACCAACCTCCCAGTTCTTGCTGCTTTGGGAAATACCTCCCCATGCTCCACCAACTGCTGCTTCCAGCATCTTAAAATGACTTAAAATATCCCCAGGAACTGTTTGGGAAGTTCTCATTTTTCCTTTTAGAACCCGTGTCCCGGTGTCCGCTTCCACACAGCCAAGGGCGCTGGTGTTTGTAGGGAAGGAGCAGCGCTCCTGCCACAGGAGCAGGGTTAATTAGGGCACCTCATTAGAGCATCCTGTGGCTCCCCTGCCCCAGCCCTCACCTGTGCCCAGGTGACCCGCAGGGACAGCCCATGGCTGGAAGGGTCACTCACTCACCTGGCTCTGCTGGGCAGCTCCCACTCCCATCCCGCGGCTGCTGCACCGAACTTCCATCGAAACAACCAAACCACGCTAAGGACACGAGACACTCGGCTCGAAGAGTGGGTGAATAATGAAACTGGGGGTTCTATTCTTTCTGTCAGTGTTTGGAGTGGAACCCGGGGGCGGGAGCGCGGTACCAGCCCCAGCCCCTCCCGGCGGCCGCAGGTGAGGTTTTATCCCCGAGCTCACCTGTGGCTGCAGCCAATGGAGCTCCCGGCTCCTCCCTGCCCGGCCCACCCCGCTCACAAAGCCACCCAAAGTGTCCCCAAACCCTCCAGCCTGCTCTGCAAATCCTCCTCCTGCACTCCTGGGTCTTCCTTATCAACCCAGAGTTAACCCAAAGCATGGCAGAACGCTTTCAGAGTCCACCTTCATTTTGCCCTATCGATTGTCTGTGTTTTAAACTCGCCTTTCCATCCAAGAAATACTTTATTTTTCCAAAGTTGCTAAAGAAATGGGAAGTGCATTGACTCTTGAGTGCTCCATGAGTGGTGGGATAGAGATTGTGCTGTAATCCCTGTAAACTCGGGATTCAGGTGGCCAGAGCCTGCCATGGGGGTATAAACTTGTGAAGACTTTGGGGAGAGCTCTGGGGAGTGCAGGGATGCTCTGTCCAAGGGCCTCCATGCACTGGTTTTAATTCCAGTTCTGGAGGAATGCCACCCATAGCAGGACTCGCTCTGGGCACTCTGTGAATCTCTGGATTCCTCCTTTCCTTGGCCCTTTACGTGAGCCCCCTCTGGCAGGGGGTGCCCAGCCCTGGCTGCAGGATGGGCACAGCAGCGTTTCCTTCCATCCCCCCGGCCCTTCCCTGTGTGAGAGCTCTGCAGGCCAGGCTCGAGGTGCTCCTGCTTTGTATTTAGCAAAAAAAACATCCTGGGAGGCAGAGATCTTCTGGATATTCCATCTCTGCTCATCTGCACAAATGGAAATATTCCAGCTGGTTTGCCTTTCCAGTGGAGTAGGGTGTAAATAACGAAATAACAAAAAAATCTCACTGCGTTCTTTGTTTTATTTTTATTGTGCTAACAGCTTACTCCTGTTCTTCCATGCTTTGCCATGTAAGGGCTGCACACAAATCCTGCTTTTCCCTTTGTTTATTGGGTAAATTGGAGTCTCCACAGCCAGGCTAGCAGTGACACAGGTCACAGGGGTTTTGGATTGCCCTGAGCAGCAGCTTCCAGCACAACAGTTCAAATTCAAATCTCTCATTTTTGCCCACACGTTTCAAGCACGGAGGTGAGCGCATCAGTCTATAAATGTGGCTCCTGCAGCACCTTTAGACAAAAGGAAGTCAGTGTTTTTCATGTGAGAAATAAGAACTGAAGGTTACCACTGTTCATTGCCTGCTTTTATTTTCTCAGGGCTCTGTGAAACCAGGAGCCAAACTCGCCACAATTTTCGCTCTGCACAGTTTGAAGCCGGAGCTGTTGTTCTTTCAGATACAAATCTGTCCTTTTATTTGTTTTATCTCCTACTGGAAAATAACAAATACCTTTAAGGTTTACAGCTGCTACTGTCAAGGACAGACAGGGAGGGACTGGCTGGGGCACGGGGAGCTGCAGGAATGTCCTGTTGTTCCATAATACCCAATTATGTCAACTACCCCTTCCTTTAAACTTTCAACACGTCCCCGTTAGGTGGGAAAAGCTGCCAGCACATCATAAAAGTGCTGCTGCAAAGCCCAGCCCTGCTGATGGAAACGTGTCAGGGGATGGAGGCTCTGCCCCGCAGGCTCTGCAGGCACATTCCACCCCTTGGCTCCCCAGGAACAAACCTGTGTGGTCTTGAAGCTTTGTCAGCTCTGACCTCTAAATTTGTCCCATGAATGGGATCAATTTACTGGGGCTGGAGGTCTGAGACATCAAACACAGCCCAGGGAAGCTCAGGGCTGTGTCTCCTGCAACTGCCCGCTGTAAATTCAGTCTGCAAGCAGCTGGGGAAGAATAACTTGGGGTATTTTTCACTGTTTGCCTCAAAGGTTGATGATTGTGAAGCGTGTGTTTATAAAGCAGCTGCTTCCATAGGAGTGGGGATTAAACAGAGCCTGAGACTGTGCATTCCTGCTGTCCCCATCCCAGAGAAGGGACCACAGAGCGATGCTGGTCCCAGTTTGGTTTGGCCCAGCACAACCAGCCCTTCCTGCCCCTCTCCCTGGGCACTGCTCACTCTCCCACACGCATGAAAGGCAAACCAGGACCTTTGTGAAGTGGAGCCAGAAGTCCCTGTTTGATCCTGGGGAGGCTCCTTCCCCCTCTGCTGCTCTCAGCAGGGCTGGGGCTGCAGGCTGTGCAGGGTGTCTGTGGGAGCAGAGCTCCAGAGCTTCCCAGCCAGTCCCTCCCCTCCTCTGCTCCTCTCTGCTCTGCCTTTTCCTGGCAGCAGCACTGCAAAATTAACACTTCCAGCTTGGAGCCTTTGGGATCTTCTTGTCCAAGCTGGGAGTCCCCATCCCTGGAACTGTTGAAAAGCTGTGGATGTGGCTCTCGAGGACGTGCTTTAGTGGTGGTGCTGGCCTGATGTTGGACTTGTTGCTCTTAATGGTCTTTCTCAACCTTAAGGATTCCATGATTCAGTCTGTGATTCACCAGCCAAATCCTGAGGTGATAAACCAGGGAAAAGAAGGCAGCACAGCCTTTAAGTGTAGCTAAAATGGGCTCCTCTGCTCTTTCAGCCACTGGAAAACAACAAGCCCCCAAGCAGTGCTGGTGTGATGCAGGTTTGTGGTGGAGATAAAATGGTTTATTTTATTTTGAAGAACTGAACAAGTGAATAAAGTGGAGCGTTCAGGCAGTGCCAAGGCCGGGGCTGGTGCAGGTGGCAGGATGCAGTTGTGCTGCTCAAGAGAGCAGATGTGGAGACGCAGCTCCTTGAGAAGACAATGAGGAGCCTGTGTGCCAACTCCTCCTCCCTCAGCGCTGAATTCCTGTGTGAATTCAGTGTGAATTCAGTGTGAATTCCTGTGTGAATTCAGTGTGAATTCAGTGTGAATTCAGTGTGAATTCAGTGTGAATTCCTGTGTGAATTCAGTGTGAATTCAGTGTGAATTCAGTGTGAATTCAGTGTGAATTCAGTGTGAATTCCTGTGTGAATTCAGTGTGAATTCAGTGTGAATTCAGTGTGAATTCAGTGTGAATTCAGTGTGAATTCCTGTCACAGCACCCAGCACCCATGGGTGCCATGGGCAGAGCTCTGCCCCGCTCCTCTGGGGAGGAGGAGACTCAGCAGCTGCTGCCCCATCTCTGCTCCAGCTTTGCACAGGGGCTGGCACAGGGGAAGGGCTTAAACCACCTTCAAACAAAATAATTAGAGACTGATTTATACCTTAATTGTACAGCAGTATCCCAAGGCTCTGGGGGGAGCCAGGCCTGCTCTGCCTTTGAAGATCAGACACAGTGGTTGTGTTTTAATTACTGGAGGGTTACCTGTGCTTTCTGTGTCTGCAAGAGGTCAAGAACTGAGATTTATAGTAATTCCTGGATTTCTGCTGTGGAATAGAACTTCAGAAGACGATTTCCCACAGCCACAGGGTCGCTGATCTGACCAAAAATCCTAACAGAGTGTTTGGCCGGGGCAGCTCATTGCTGTCAGTGAGTTTTACCTGTAAAGTAAAGAGTTTTACCTGTCTAAACCTTATTAACAAAGATATTTGTGCAGAGATGCATCTTCCAGACCCACCTGCTGCAGGCATCAGGCAAAATCAGCTCTGCAGTCCCCAATCAATGCAGGATTAAACCCTCTCCGTGCCCACCCTCGGCTCTGGGAGCTGGCTTTGATGGTGAGGAGGCAGAATGAATCACCCTGCTGACAAAACTAATGCAACAGTAATTTAAAAATAAACCTTTTAAGCTGATGTATGTAGTCTAAAGCCACCAGAGCATTGCTAAGGAGTGTATTTTTCAGTTTTATGTTTGCAAAAGGAAAAAAAACAACAAAAAAAGCAAGAAAAAAGTCTCAGCATCTGCCCTCACAGGGAATGAACTTTAAAGCAGAAGAGATGAAATTTCTGATTCCTCTGTGAATTTTAATACCCTGAAAGAAACATTTAGCACTGCTTTAGCTGGCAGGTCGCTGGAGGTCTCTGCCTCTGGGCAAAGCTGGGTTTTAGGAGCTCTGTTTGCCTTGTCCTGGGCTGGAACTTTCCTTCCCTTGCTCCCAAGCAAAGGCAAAAACCGATGGCAGAAGTTCAGGGCTGGGGAGGGAATGCATAAAGCAGCTGATATAGCTGAGTCACAGATAACTGGAACAGAGATCTGTGTTATTTACACTGCAAAAATGTACAGGGAAATTAAATGACACAAAAACCTCTTTCCTGGAGAATGTGGGGGTAATATTCCTCCCTCTGCTCTGGAGCTGGAAACAACACTCAAAAGTTGCATTCTGCAGTCACAGGCGTTTTAAAGAACCTGATAACTCTTGCAGGTTTGGGGACAGAGGAGAACTTGTTTTCCAAGGAATCTGAGGAGCCCCAGACTTGGATTTGCTTTCTTGGTGGAGCACTTGGAGAGTGCAAGCTTTGCCCTGGTCTCCATCCTGAGGGCTTTGCCAGCCTCCAGTGACGGATTCCCTGCGCTGGAGGAAAACCTTCCTCGCTCAGCCTTCGGGAAAGCAGCGTGAGACAAACCCTGCTCGTGCCAGCCCCAGAGTTTGGGGAAACTTTGGCTTTCTTATGAAATGTTGAGTGTGGCTGCCCTGGGGTTGTGCAATCGCTGCTCCTGAGCGTGTGTGATCCCAAAAACACCAGCAGAGCTCCTGGCTCCCTCCTCCTAACACTGCAAGTGCTGACAAAGCTGAGTTTCAAAATGTAGCAGTGCAAAATTCGGGCTCAGTTTGGAGGAGTATCCCTGGCTTCTGGAGGCTTTTTCATACAGTTCTGGCCTTTCCTGAATCCACTTCCTGGTAATGCTAAGAAGTGGGGATTTGTTTGGTTTTTTTTTGTGATGTGATTTATTTTGTGATGAGTGAAGCTGAAAATTCTGAGAAGTTTGTTTTGTGTTTTGGGATTCTTTTTGTGTTTTTACTGCCCAGAGACCTGGGATAATGAAAGGTGGGTGAGATGGGATTTCAGGTCCCTTTGGACCCAAAGCACTCTGTGATTCTGTAACACAGGTTCTGCTCCAGCCCAGCCCCTCCCTGA